CCTTTATATGCAAACTATGCAACGTGTGCAGAGCACAAGCGACGGGTTTAACTGTTGCACATTTTCTCGTTAAGTTTAGCGGGGGAATTGATGTCACTTGACTTGAGATCACATGACCTTGTCACGTGACGTGACATCAGTTTCCCCGATATGTTTAGCGGGGAAATTAACGTCACAGTTAAGTCGTCGTCATCACGAGATACCATCACATCGCGTGTGTCAAATGTGTGATTTGCGCTCGACACATTTTGTGTCGTCCGGCTTTTCAGCATGATCAAGCTTGTAAATGTTTGTCTTGTAATCTTTTTTAGCAGCGTGGTAAAAAATACAAGACGTCGATCATTAAACCATATGATCGACTTTGTCGCACACTAAATGTGACTTAATTTTTTTTTTTTTTCGCGACAGCATATAATTTTTGTTTCTTTATAAATATTTTTGCGAGATTCCGCTTTATTTATTCCGGAGTAAAATTTCGGGATGTTCTGTGTTTCTCATTGGTTTGTCGAAAAATCGGTGTTCTTTTTCGACGAGTTGCTTCACTCTGGCAATACCTCGCAAATGCCCGTACTCAAATTCCCTGGCGTTGATTTCGGTGTAAAAAATCTCGTTTGTTTTATACGCTTATCAATCATGAAGAGATCAGTGGTTTTTGACGACTTGTCCGGCGCTGGCTTTACAATCAGCAATTATCGGCGAAAACATTTGGTCCGTGGCTATCTTCAAAAGTAGCGAGGGTTGCCAATTGGCCGACACCGGGCAATTCAAATCAACCTTTTTCAAGACGTAGTTATACCTTGAGCACAATTAGCACGGGTAGCTAAACACATTTCACTGCGCTTAACTCTGCTCGTTTTGGTAATGTAATTCCAGAATAACTACAAAAAATACATTTGGTTACCCCTGTAGTTTGCAAATGTGTAATTACAGCATTTAAGCACTCACTCCAACAAAAATGCGCAAACCGCGTTTCTTTTGCTCGCCCTGCGCACGTTTAGTCTCCCGTAAAGCACAAACTGAGCGCATCTCGAAGGAAACAAACCAGCGGCTCAAGTTCCCACAACCACCACCGGTGGCGCCACTGCGTCCATGGAAGTTGGAGAGGCGCCACGGCGTCAGTGTTGCCAGCCTCGAGTGACAGGCTATAATTTGAAAGGTGAAAAATGGTTTCCCCCAAAAGCCGAATCGCTGCAGCGCCGCCGAACCCCACCAAAAACAACGCGGCAGTTGCTAACCATGGGCCCATTGGCACCCTCATACTATAATGCAGGCTGCACCAGAAACAACCAGAAACAACAATGGCCGAAGTGCAACTACCCACGCCATTTATCAACCTAGCGAAAACAAGAATGTTACAATAAAAACACAAAATAAACAGATGTAAATAGAAGGATCAGCCTTTTCATTTTCTGGTGAATTCTTGTTCTTGTCTAGCACTTACTTTGCACGGGAAGGTATTCAAGTTATTCGAGAAATGCGGATAGTTTGAACATCTTTAAACCTAACTTGAATGGCTTTGTTGTTTCGGCGTGCTCGTTTGTTTTTGCCATAAATAAACCAAAGTCAACCTTGTGAGAGCTAAAAACAGGAAGCTGATGATTGCATGACGAACTTTGCGGCTGAATTAGGATTTTCACAAATCTATATTAGATCTATTCCTACGTTATTTTTATGTATAATGTCAGTTTTATATTAAACTCTGCTAAATATGTGTCTTTATACAAAAAAAAGTCCTTAATTACTTTACAATGACTTTCCGGCGAATCCTTCAATTTCAGTGGAAGTTTCGATTCGCCCTGATAGCTAGTTTGACTGGAAACAAACCTTAGCTTTGCTCAAGCATTTTTTCTTTGCTACTTAAGCGTAAACGAACAAGTTCGCGCAGTTTAGGGGGCTTCAGAGTACACATTATAGGCACATCCTCCCGCGACCAATTAAAATTAGTCTTTGTTTTCTGTCCCATTGAGCTTCTTGCATGCGCGAAGTTCATACTTTAGAATAAAATGGTGCGTCGGCTAAAGTTATTCGATCGCGGAAAATTATGGACATTCGTGTGACGAGCGTGTCTCCAAACAGTGCGAACTTGCTGATTTGAAATGAAATCTCCAAAGCTGGATGCGAACGCTCATCTCGACAAGAAAGGTTACATTAATTCACATTATTTCAGTAGAACTTTTTTATACACAACAATTATTCCAGAAAAACAGACTTACAATGCTTCTTTTCACTTGCATAAACGTTTCTCAAAAATACCTGCTACATGTTTGTTTTGTTCAATTAAAGATTGGAGCAGATTTCATAAAGAAGGCAGTATACTTATGACTCTTCGTTTCGGGGCCAAACTCAATTCTATCCAAAATTTGCACCTCGAAACAGTTTGATCAAGTGTTGGTTTAAACCCGATTTTACCATAAATCTCGCGTAAGCTTTTTATATAAAAAAAAATCGCGTTATCCGAATTGTGCACGCCGAGCAAGTTTCACCAAGGTTGGAACATAATCGGGCTAAACCTGATTTCTTTTTTTTAACATTGAGTCACTTGATTCAATTTTTTTTTAAAGTTAGTTCTAGACATGTACCATCTTGTTTTGTGAAATCCATCGGAGTGTTCCACGTCCGTCTAGAAACCCCAAGCTATCACCTCTGATATGAATAACAGCCGTGTAAATAATATTTCGCCACTAACAATAAATATGGGTATTGATTTTCAGTCGTTAAAAAAAAACTCATTTATAAAACATTTGGCATGTGTACATTTCAATTTTTATTTTCTTATATTTATCTTTAGTGATTCGCAACGTCTGCGTAGTTTCTCGTGTGTTCTTCAAAACAGGATAAATAAATAAATACAATACTAAATAAAAACAGCAACTTTTCATGCAAGTTTTCGAAAGTTGTGCTTGAAACATTGTGAACAGGGCCACGGGATTTGAAACAAAGAGTCGATCAATTTTGGGTGTGAAATTCAATTTTTGGTTGTCTACAAACTCTACATCATCTCTTCGAGCAATTTATAGTCAAGCTTAAAATTTATTTTGAGCGAAAATATAATCAAAAATTTTCCAAATATCGAAATTGACGGAGAGTAGCCTCAATTATATCCTGAACTTCGCTTGAAAATATAAAACCCCAACTTTTATAACCTCGAATTTTGTAAATTACAAAACCCGAAAATGAAGAAGCATTAATATATTCGATGACCATGTCTCTGTAGCCCTGTATTTTTTTTCTTCTAAAACAAAAATGGCATACAAATATATGAAAGGTTATGTTCTAAAAATACAAATAACTTTATTCAAAAAAGGTAAAACAACAACAACCATTTCAAGTGAGCGGAATCCCAAGCTTGGACCTGAAGTCTCGATTGTATAATACCCGAAGGAAATAATAGTGTTAATCTTTTTTTAGATTAAATGTTATATTATCTAACCTTGACATTTTCTTTCGAGGTGTAACAAAAATGCGGTTCATGTGTGCGTGCCTGTGTCTTTCCTCTGCGATGTTGCGCCTATAAGGCCACTTATTTATTTCAACATTCTTCTTTTGAACATTCTCCTCGCCTCCCCCTTATTCTCAGAACCACAAAATCTAGTTTAATTAAATTATCATCATTTAGAACAGCCATAACCCTATATTTTCAGCGCGTCAATTGTGTCAGCAGATCAAATTTTCAGGTTTTACCGGCTATTGCAACTAGAAATAAATCACACCGAAACGGCGCGTGCTTGAACAAAAAAAAAGATATAAAACTTTACTTTTTTTCTATTTTTCAAGGTAGCGGAAGTTGCAGACACATCTTTCACGTTTGCACCCTCTATAGACTCTAGTCCCAAAATCAAAGGCGCCCAAAACATACCTGAAAAATCAAAGGGCCTATCGGTCACATGCTCCATACAGTGCTACAACAAGTCATGTTTCTGACGTCATATCAAAGTGGTGACGTCAAAACCAAGACATTTTGATCTTCTAAACACGGGTGTTCGCGCTTGCGCGGAGCCAGCAGTTTCCTTGTCCAGGCGCATTTGGTGCACTGAAGTGGAGACCACGTCCATCACTTTGGTACCTTACTACACAAAAAAGCAAAAAAAAAAATATATATATATATATCCCATTTTCGGTGGGTTACTTTTTTTAGATTAAAGAAGTGCATCTAGAAAATAACAGCGAAGGGTTTAGAAATAATTTAAACTGTCTGGGGACCTTTTAATGTGCAACCAAAATCCCAGTTAATGACGACGGCGCCAACGGTAAGCGTTCGTAAAATGCGTGTATATATATCAGTAGTCAGAGCCACCTTCCGGATTTTTTTGCATAGTTGGGGTGGGTGATAAATTTCCGGAACGTAGCGCGGCCTCCACCCTAAACTTTTAGGGCTACATACCTCGGTCGAAATTTGACCTCGTCAAATGGGAATCTATAGCCCGCGGCACATTGGGTCGATGCACAAGTCTGCGCCGTGAACGTTGGAGTTAGACGCATGTGTATGTGTCATATACAGGGTGTCACAAAACAAAATTTACAGGTTTTTTTTTTTTTATTTTTATAGCAAAAATAAATTAGGCATCACCGAACGCTCATTCTCCGCCCAAAGGTAGCGCTAGAGGTCACAACCAGATGTCAAAGTTTCAGCCCGATCCGATACCTTATTCAAAAGTTATAAGTGATTTTCTGAAAAGTTCAATGGAAAAATGGAGCCCGTTTTTGGCCGTTTCCGGTTTCTGATGCCCATAGAGCCCCATGTATTCGAAAACTCCGACAGCCACCATTTTCCCATAGAACTTTTCAGAAAATCACTTATAACTTTTGAATCAAGCATCGGATCGGGCTGAAACTTTGGCATCTGGTTGTGACCTCTAGCGCTACCTTTGGGCGGAGAATGAGCATTCGGTGATGCCTAGTTTGTTTTCGCGGTAAAAAAAACCCTGTAAATTTTTTTTGTGACACCCAGTACTAATCCCAGAGACGATCTAAACTTTGACCTCTAGTCGTTGCACTTGCAGGACGGCCAAGGTGTCTGGGGGCGTGAACGGAATCGGCCACTACAACCACAACAGGAGACGACTTCTAGATCCTAAAATGGAGGCTTACCGAGAATCCATGTAAGTTGCTTTCTTTTTCTATTTTATTTTTCTCTCAAGATATACAGCAACCTGAAGTTGACGCGCCAACGACGCAGAGAGCGTGAACACACTACACTCCGCAAGAAGTGATGCAGAGATGACTCGCTCTTTTGACATCATATTCACGTGCTTGGAGCTCGTGACTAAGAAAAGCAACCACCTCCAACTATGCACCATGCTCCGCTACTCCGTACAATAAACCGCAGCAGAGGCCACGGTCCAGCCCAGCCAATCAAGCACTGTGAACGTAGCACATGATCCGCGCACATCCCAAAAAGACACGTGAGACACACACGGCATGGGAATGGTTTCAATGACATGTAGCAGCATCTGTTGTTCATCGTAAGGCAAAACGTAGTTAGGGCGCTATCACCCGTCGCCAGACTCGAATCAATATCAAACCAATCTGCATTTCGACCCCCTAACAGCTATATCCACTTTCCAAAACTTATCACCCAGGCAAAAAAAAATATTCCGAGACACTGAATGGTAGGCTTATGCACACGGCGTTCGGTATTCCGCAGAGAGCTACGGTACGGAACGCAATCCAATCTAGTAGACAAAGAAGGCAGCACGTAGGAGACGATAATTGGAATTATCTATAACAAGCTCTGAATGTTACTTTCTCGGAAACCAAGTAACTATACTTCGTTCCATTTCGCGCGGGCAAACGAGTAACGCGACTTTGCTACTTGTTTGCGAACCAACGCAAATCGGGGAAGTATAGTCACCTTGACAAGCGTTCCGGGTGCTTCGGGGTAAAACGAGGGAAGAAGGATTCTGACCAGCCAAGTCATGCATGACTCGGGACGTTTGGTGGAAAGGATGGACACTGAAAGCACAAAAATTACGAAGGTAGTCTCGGTTAATTGGATTAACTTGAAAAGAATCTTCTGGCTAGACTTGAAGTGGCAAGCAACTTTTCGTTAAGAAATTTTGCTTCTTGGGAAGAAGTTACCCGAGTCTTTGTTGAAGAAGTTACCTAAGTCTTAGGCTTCTATGAGGTCGCGCAGATAGCAACCGAGGTTCGTCTGAGCAGACCCTTCTTCACGTGACACCTCTGTCTCCCATACAAAAGTAGCCTCACAACTGGAAAAAACAAAACAATTTAATAGAGTTGTAGTTTGATGGAGCGATCGGGTGATTCAGCAACTTTGAAAAATATTCCAAGACTGACGAACGCCCGCAACTCGCGCCGAGAAGGAAAAAAGGTGAAATACACACGGAATCAACAACGAAGGCTAATGAAAAAATGTCGCGATTCTTTTTTTTTTTTTGTTTGATTCAGCTAACGTCACGTCCCCAAGACTTTCGCATTCTACATCCTCACCACAACCGTTACATTCTGGTGGACTTTCAGCTTGCAACAAGGCGTCGTTTATTTTACGCGGGCCCAAAAACCGGGTTTCGTTTTCTATCACGGACGCCGTATAATTGCACCCCCAACGACTACATATTTACGACTGGCCATCGTCCTTCCTTCATCTCCCCACGAGACGGCCGGGGAGGGAGGGGACGACGCGTGCTTGATGACTCTGTGTACCGCGTAGACGGAATCGTTATGGGATCCCCGATGCCCCGTCCACGTAAACAAGACCGGGCCCGAATCGAGCCCGCGCCGAACTCCCCGCTCAAGACTACCTAGAAGACAAGGCCTGAGGCGTCCTCTCCCAAAACGTCACCACTAGAGAATCCACATAAGGCCGTCAACGCGTTTAGCAGTGTCTCACAACGTAGGCGACCTTAGCATGGGGTGACGGCCGCACGTTTGCGTCCCCGTCGAGTTTCAGCGCGTTTGCCGCTTGGGGCGAGTCGGGGACCCACGAACGATGACATCACGTGCAGGCCTTGACTTCCAGGTGGCATCGGCCCCCCGACTCAAGTCTTTGCACCGGTCTCCCTGCTGCCCTGACGTCTGCCTTCCATGTTTCCAAGCACAAGAGCGCGCGCGCGCGTATGGTCGTTGTAAACGTCACCCCCGTGTAAACGGCGGTGCCAGCTGCCGCCTTCCCTTCGTCTCTGCGTCTTCAATGCCTCGCCCAGTTTTTTGCTCGCGTTCACTAAAGCCGAAAAAAAAAACTTTTTTTTATTGGTATCGATTGAGAGCGAGGGCGAAGGTGTTGAAGTCGGTTTACGCGTTGTTGTTTCTGGCGCCGCGAGGTGTAATCTTTTAACCCCTCTGTTGAGACGCTTTTAAAACCGATGGGCTTAGAGGCTTCCCTTTGAGCTGCCGTAATAACGAAACTCAAGGAAAATAAATTAGGGGCACAGCGATTGATCTTTGAGAGAGAAAATAGCGAGCTCCCTTTCAAAGAAGACGCCTCTGATACATGGGGGAGGGAAAAGGGGGGCAGCCCCCCCCTTCCCTCCTTTTCCCTCCCCCATGTATCAGAGGCGTCTTCTTTGATAGGAGAGCTCGCTATTTTCTCTCTCAAAGATCAATCGCTGTACCCCTCTTTTTTTTTCAGTTTCGTTATTACGGCAGCTCAAAGGTGATTTCCGGAAGTGTAAAATTGCTCTTTTCACGACGTGTAAATATGGTTCACGGATGCACTTAGAGTTCTGCTTTTTCGGGGTTTTAACGTAAACAGGCAATAACTTTAGAGGGTTTAAAATGGTAGTTTGGGACGAATAGAACTAACACGTTCGCAGCCCCCTAATAGCGATGACAGGCAACAAATTTTAGTCTGGTGGTGATGTTAAGCATCTATCTGAGCTTTCCGAGAGGCTCCTCTACAGTGGCGTCGAAAAGGGAAGGGGGGGGGGGGGGGGGGCACAATGGGGCACGGGGGTGATCGTACCCCTCCTTCCCTCCCCCCTTTCCACACCTTTCAGAGATTTCTGTTAAACAACTCGTGTGTGTGTGTGCAATTGGGGGGGGGGGGGAGGGGGGATGGCTTACTTTCCTCTAGTGGCCCCATATCTGCCGAACACTTCCGACGCCCCTGTTCCGATACAGAAAAGGAGGCATTATTAAAAATCTTCATAAATACTTTTCGTTACAAACCTTTCTCTTGAGTTATTGTATGGAATGCATATTTCCCCAATCGAGTTTGGAGAAATGACCAGCGATCAATCTCTTTTCAAATGTATTTTACAGTATTCAACTATCGTGAGAGTTAGTTTTTGACCTTCAAGATGTAGCTTAGGAGATTAGGTTACAGCTTTATACTCAATGGAAACAAGAAAGATAACGTATATAATTTGACCCATAAAAATATTAAAACATAAATTATATGATGAATATATAAGGTATTAGTCATGTGCGTATAGTAAATTTTGTGTTCAAAGCTGATTCGAAGCGAATAATGGTTTTGTCCGAATATCGAATAGCTTCTCTAAGTCCTTCGTCACCGTGCACTATGCTTATACGAAACTTCAGCTGAACACGTTCCACTTGTCCACTGCTAAGCTCAGTTATTTCAATATCACTACTGTATGGACTGTAGCGTTTAAACGACAGATTTGTCGCAGTTATCCTAATCCAGGGAATTTATAAATCTGCTTAATATATGCAAATTTTTTATTCCTCTATTTCATATTTAAAAAAAATACGAATGATGGACAGGGGTTGTCAAGACGTCTCTGCTTAGCCTATACTTTTGCACAATCGCAGCGGGTTAACCCCGTTGAGTGCGCTTCTCACCAAGCACATGGTCACTGCGGGGATGCAATACCCGCGGAGCTCCGCGGGTATTGCTTTCCTGCCGCGCACCAATGCTCGGTAAAAAGCGCACTCAACGGGGCTAACCCGCCGCGATCAACACTTCGAAAAGTGTGAATGTCGGAGTTCACATGAAAGCGAATACCGATTAGCGTATTATTCGAAACTGCATTTTAAAAATTCAATTATTCGCAAAACACTGTAAGTTATTATATGCTTTTGAATGTTCCTAAATGTTTATTGGGCACATTCATATATTTTAGCATTAGGGCAATGCGTGAAGTGAACAACCGACGTTTACTCAGTGGAAAATCTGGACTTTTTTTTTGTAGCTTACTAAGTCCTATTTGTAGTTGTGGGTCAACAATATTGCTAACTAGCTTTTGTTTTACATACTATTAGTCCAAGTTAAGGACTTCAAGACGAGTGGTAATTGCAAATACATTTTGAAACGCAATAAAAAAAAGCAATTGCAGCACACACAGAAACGCAGGTACACGAAATACAAACAATATAAACAATCAGCGGCATTCAATGCACAAACGAGCATATATATTGGCATATACAAATAGTTATGTTGTGTCTAAATAAGATAAAAATAACCGAGAATCATGTAGTGAAAAAGCATTATCCGGTAGTATATTCTCTTCTCTCACTGTGCGTGGGAAAAAGGAAACTTTGAAACAATCTTTATTAAACGAGAATAAAGATTGTTTCAAATATTTGGATATATTTTTATTTTATATTATATGTGAAGGTCATCAATATAGTATCGTATATGTAATGCGAATGATTGTTTAAACAAAACTCACAGACCGAATTGATTTTGATAAGAAAAACAATGTGCACTTAAATCGCGTACGCAGACGGCTCATTTCCGAAACTGGAATACAAATTATTTCGTAGCTCTTAAAAATCAACAGGATTCTACGGACTCAATATTATCTATACTAACTCATGGAAAATTCCACGCTGCAGTCCGTTCACACACAGAGGTGTGGTGAAAAAGTTCCGAGTCTGGTTTTGTAGCGTATAAACAAGAGGGCAGCACAGTGATGTGCGCGCAGAAGCCGAAGGCAGAAACCTTCCTGCGTCATTATGCCAAAGGGCCTCGCTTGGTGGCAGTGGCGGATTCAAGGGGGGGGGGGGGGGGCGACGGGGGCCGCCGCCCCCCCCCCCCCCCCCCCCCCCCCCCAAACAAAGTCGACCCCCCCCCTCCCTCCTCTCGGAGGCAATGTGCAATTGGTGGACCCCCCGGTGCACAAGAAGAATGGGATAATAGTATCCTTACAAATTTTCCGCCCACCCCCCCCCCCCCCCCAAAAAAAAATGGAGTTCTGGATCCGCCATTGCTCTGTGGAAGTTTGGAACTGCGCTACACGAGTTCGTTGGACCACATGCACGAGTACAATGGCGATCTCTCCATAGACTGCAAATCAAATCGAGAGCGAACGTCAACTTTACGTCAAACTAGATAAAATCTAAAATAGATACCTCTGAAATTATTTAGAAGGCTTATGTCAAAGAGTAGTGAGGTATGCGAGGTGTCTTGAGTGGCACGCGCGCCTCAAGAATGGCAGAACGTCACTGAAGTGAAGGAGAGGTCGGATAAGAGTCGCCCTAGCGCTCTTTGTCTTCAAGCGATGTTCTGCCGTTCCTGAAGCACGAGTGCCGTTTAAAACACTTCCCAAAATTCACTGCTTTTTGACACTAGCCCGCTGAATCATTTCAAATGTCTCTGTTTGACATTTGCCGATTTCGACGCGAACTAATGTTCGCTCTCACTCTGGTTTGCAGTTTGTGGTGAAATCGCCATTGTGCCCGTGCACGTGGTCACAAAATCTCTCGTGTAACTCAGCTCCAAATGTTTCCAGGGCGACGCCCTTTGGTATAACGAGACATGAAGGTCCTTGCCTTCGACTGCTGCACACGCATCACTTTCTTTTTACGCTACAAAATCAGTCTCGGAACTTTCTGATCCTACCTCGTAAGTCGACCTTGCGGAGGAAGCTACCTGATTGTTGAACCGGTGCCTAGATTTTGCCACATGATTACGCTCACGCCAGCACCCAGGCACAAACGGCGCCGTCAGGTGAATAAATGGAGACGGCAGATTGGGGGGGGGGGGGGGGGGGGGCGAGAGTATTGTTCCCCCTGCAGTGTCAGCTGCAGGTGAAAGTAGTATAGCAATGCCTCTCCAAAACAAAACAAAAAAGATTCAATCAAGAAAGTAGATTAAGAAAAAAAAAGCATTCGTATTGTAAGCAGTGATAGAGTGAGGGCGAGCTGGTAATGATTCGACATCCTGTAGATCGTGAGATGTTCCCCATCTCAGGGTCTACAAGATGTCCATTCGTATTGAGGCTTTTAGTCCTACTAATTCATCTTTGGGGCCGAGATTTGTTCTGAAACGACTCCTAGATGGGGGAGGGGGGGGGGGGGGGTCACTGTTTCTAGAAACAATTAACTCAAACAATTTTTGTCACCCTTTCAAGTTGAACTCTTATGATAAAGTTATGCAAATTGTTATGCCATTACTTTATTTCAGCTACTTCTACTCATAAATTAACATTTTAATTATAGGTAGATTACTTTACTGTAAGGTAATTGAAAAATTTAACAGCAATTAAATCAACTATGTTTTGACCTGCTGGCAAACACCTCAACAGGCGGCTGCAGTCCTCCATATACCGTTTTTTCTGGAACCTCCCTTATCGCTGTCTCTCTGAAGCAGTAATTTCGCTGCGACCCGTGTCTCTATCGGGCCTTCAGCATCAGACATAAAAAAAAATCCTGGAAGTTAGTACATTTATTGGGCCGTGTGGAAACAGTCTCTTTACCGAGCCCGGAGCGCGTCTTCGACTAGTGTGTTTAGCGTTCCATAACGGCCATCCATCGAAAGCGTTCCCGAAGTTGCAACGATGTGCGCCATGGGTGCCGACATCCTGTGTTGTTGGATGTCGCCATCCTGGCAATTAATCATAAAAATTCTGGCAAAAAAAGAGCGATAAAACGGAAGTGCTGCCGTCGTCGCAGCGTTCCAACTTGTCGTCGCAAAAATTTCCAGGGACTGTTGAGCTGAGAGGGAACCTAGAGCAGACAAGACGTCTGCCGCATCCAGCTCCGCCGTCGTGCTACCGTCATAATCGTGGCAGACGACAGCATGGCAAGCCGGCCCGTGTGACGCAGTTTGTTGGCACTTCGGAACCACCTTTGTTGCACGATCGGAACAGGACAGTAAACACACCCGTCGGAGACCCGCTGCGTGCACCGTGGTCTGAAACCCCGTCCCCGTGTTCACCTCTCTCCAAATTGACAAACAATAGACGAGTCGCTCCAGCCACGCATTCACTCTGAACGTGGAACCCTCTCCACAGGGCAATGCGGTGGCAACTGCTCATGGAGCCCGCCCGAGTGTGCAAGAAGAAGAAGCTGCTGCGGGGACGGAAAGCCCGCATCTGCCGCAAAGAGCCCAAGGTGGTCCGCGAGATCGCCAGGGGAGTGGACCTGGGCATCCGGGAGTGCCAGAACCAGTTCAGGTTCCACCGATGGAACTGCTCCACCCATCGCTCTTCCATGAAGAAGGTCCTCATGAAAGGTGGGCGGACTAACGCACCTATAATGACAGTCACATCTAGAGCACTCGTTGTATACTGCCGTAAACATGATCCGGAAATGATGGCATGTTCCTGCAATGCGTGAGCGCCGAGTTTGCCCCCAAATACAAACAAACGTCCTGTGGCTTTTGACCCTCTATAAAAATCAGACCATGTTGTGCGGCCCCAAGGACATTGCTGCGTAAAGAACTCTTTCGCACACGTGCGCCTGCTTAGGACCGAGTCCTCGTGATTTCTTACTACGAGAGAACACACTAGCATGCTGGCGCCATCTATAAGGTAACCCATGAACTGCGTTTCATGGTGTCTGCAAATGCTCCACGGCTACTCGGTAGATGACGCTAGTATGTTCTGTCGTAAGAGATTCTAAGAGGTTTCAAGGCACACGGTCGTAAGCAGTCGCAGGTATGTGAACCTGGCTTAAAATTGTACACAGGTGCTTTTCGTACAAGCTTGTCTTCGATGGCATATTGTTTGTTTTGTTAGGCTTTAGTCGATAAAAATGACCAGTTCTAGATGGCAAGACGTCCTACTAAATTCACTATTTTCCCACTGTTTTCTTTTGACCCTGCAAAAATCGTCAACTCTCCTCCATGCAGGGTCAAGTCTAGACACAATTCCTCGGTGGACGAGGTACAGATGTGAGCTTACTTACTTGCTCCGGTGGTCGGCTCGATTCTACTTTTCTTCTGGGGCACGGTGACTCCGTCCTCGTCGGTTACCAATGGTTTACGTTTGTACCGGCAGTCGACGCAACCACTGGCTCTCCACAATCCGTGCTAGTTCCGCGAGTTCCAGCGTCTTTGTCCTCGAACCGGCCTCGTCACTTGTGCGTCTGCACCGGACGAAGAGTCTCGAATGGCTGACGCATAACTTGCGGGTATGGTTGTGGAATTGGACCTTTCTCAAGAGAGGTTCCAGGACGATTCAACGCTTGGCGACTTATGATAACTATAGCTCCATGTTTTGAGCGAGATGAATGTACTGCTGTGCCTTGACCGGCCGCGGGGCCTTTACCTCGGGTGAAAGCGCGTCCACTTTCTGGCAAAGCCCAAGAATACTTTGGCGTAGGTCGACTTCATCATTGTGCCCCTGCTCTTGTTAGGCTGATCTTCGCCGCTACCGGGCCGGGCACCGCACTGCTGGTTATGGCGTCGGTGCTAAGCCCAGCCGATGCGGGGTCCTTCCGCCGGTGCATGCCGATTCCGTTTCTCACGAGTAGTTAATAATCTTCGTCGACGACATTCACACACTTGCAATTGAATCGTCTGTCGCTGGTTCCAGAGCACACAAAGTGCTGCTGCCTTCCGATGAAAGGCTGGGAGCGTCATCCACACGCGTTCGTTCTCTTCAACGTCATTCGGTCAAAATAACGTTTAAAAGAGTGTAAAGGCACACTAATTTTTACATTTCTTGTTGTGTCATTAACGAGAAAGAGAGACAGAGAGAGAAAGGGAGAGAAAACTGCCTTTATTTACACAATGAACATTATTTGAAACTTGACGAGGTACCAGCTACAAGAAATAAACTCAAGCGAGCAACTTTAAAAATGAAAGTGTTATACATTTTGATTTAAAACTTATCGGATTACAATCCCGAGTGATGAACGCTGAACAACGGTAATGTTTCTTAAAAGCGATAAATATGCATCAGCTAGTAAGCAGGCATTTTTACCTTCTCGAAATTTACAACTCAGATTACAGCCAATTAACCGGTTAAAAAGCTAATCGCGTTAATTGATTAATTGGAAAGTTAATCGATCAGTTGCCCAGCCCTACTTGTAAAAACGTCAATCTTCACGAGTAGTCGATCGGGACGTCAATCTTCAGAGGGGAACTAGGGCTGCCTGTTTCCGTTTTTTTTTCTTTTTTTCTGTCTTTCTTTTTCGATTTGGGGATTTCTGGTTTTTATCTTTTTATGACAGATTCTGTGCTTTTCGGTGTCAATTTTTTTGTGGCGAAAAAATATCGGTGTTTATAGAATCCTGTGTTGAAGCAATAAGTAGTGCTGGGCAATTGGTGGATTAACCTACGGATTAATTGAGCGCTTTAATTGCGATTAATTTTTTTAACCGGTCAATCGGTAAAATTTTGACAAGCAAACAAAAAGTAAAAGTTAAACGCTTTCACCACACAGTCTTGGACGGGTATAGCTGTATCAACGGCACGCGTTAGGTGAAATGTTCACCTAAAGTAAACTGTAGGGGCGGGATTTATAACTCCGGACAAGTGCAGAAGGTTACATGTGTCCTGGCCACCGCAAAGTCGTGCGAGTGTGCTTTCAGCGCCGGAGAGACTGTGGTGCACAATCAAAGGAGGTCACTCTTGCTGAAGAACATCAACGAATCACCTCATCGCCTCATACATGGGGCTAAAGGGCAAAATTCAAAACGTTCACATTCACTGATTCTTACTTCAGCTGAATACAGCTGAAGTAAGAATTTGTGAGTGTGAGCGTTTTGAACTGTCCTCAACTACACATCGAGGTTGATTCATATTCGAAATTTTATATTGCCAAAGGCCCAAAAACAATTCGGATGTTTTTAACATGTTAGGCATGGAAATGAACGGGACCGATTGATCGAATAATTAATCGATTAAAGGGTGGCGATTAATTGGGTTAACATTTCTAATCGACACCCAGCCCTAGAAATAGGGACACGGGCATGGAATTTCCCAATCTTCAAGCAACCTTGTGCATGACATGAAAACTTGGGGGAAAAAAACTTTTCCTGTACCAAAAGAAAAGGAAATGTCACAATAGGCGTCGCTCCCAAATAGAGAAGGAGCCTCGGGGTTAAAGACCGACGACCAGTTCGCGCTTTCCACTTTTCCCTCGCTTCCTCCTCTCCCCCTTCTACCTTGCCCACCCTTGCCTGTTTCCTCCTCCCCCATGGTGAGGAGGATCTTCTGCCTTGCAGAATCTCGAGGCTGGTTGTCGGCCTTTAAGGGGGTCTTGTGTGCCGAATCAACACAGAGTATTGCTGTGGATAAAGACTTCCTTAAGTTTGGGTTTTTTCCAAAATCAAATACCAGCTTAATAGAACCCTTTTTAAAACACCATGAGGCAACATTGGCGGTCGTTCTTTCTTGGGCATGAAGCCTGTGACGGGATCCGAGCCCTCGACGGACTAAGCGCTCGTTCACGTCACGAGGTTGGCCGAGTACACGCCGACCGATTACGCAGCCCGAGCGGTTTCCCGCGATTTCGATAAAACCGGCTCGGGAGTTACTTTTCGGTGTTTATCGATATTCACCGAAGATATAGAACCCTAATAATATTCCGTCTGTCCTCCCCGTAGACACCAAAGAGGCCGGGTTCGTGGACGCCATCGTGGCCGCCGGCGTGGTGTACGCCCTGACGGAAGCGTGTGCCCAAGGTCGTCTGCTCGACTGCCAGTGCAGGAGGCGCCACAACTCGGCCGACTCCCTGGGCCGCTCCGGCTGCGACCACTACGTAGACTTCGGCTACCACAAGTCAAGGGACTTCATGAACCGGAAGCGCGTCGGAGACCTCCGGGCCACCATACTCTCGCACAACTACGAGGCCGGCAGACAGGTAACGAGGGAACTTCGCCACTTCGCTTTGTCCGCAGGGTGACACTCGGGGACCATTGGAAAAGAACCTCCCTTTATCCTCGCAGTTCGCTAAGAAACCAGGCTTATTTTACGCTGAAGCTAGGACTCTTTATGAAAGTCATTGAAACAGCCGTTTTTAAGGCCGCTAATATTTCCACGGCCTTTGTTTACACACACTCCCTCTCTCTCTCTCTCTCTCTCTCTATCTCTTTCTCTTTTTGTTTTATTGGAAGTTTATTTGAGGCTTTTAGGGAGTTTCTAGGCCGAAGAAGCTAAGCTTCTTAAAGGAATATTGGCCACATTCTGAGACTTCCATAAGGTTTCTTTCTGAGCTATTTTATAGCAGCTTCGACGTATTTCGTGGCTCCTTAGCATTTTACTCCCACTCGTCGCACCACTGATCGCAGGTCTTCTGATGAGCTACTGCATGCCTGAATCTGTCTTCATTGCCTGGCATCTGCATGTTCTCTCGTAAAACGTACTCACAAAACCGGAAAGTGACCCAAAATAAAAGAGCGGCAAACAAAATGCACATGACAAAGTTTCAAATCCTGGGAGAGCAGTGTTCGTACTTCGAGATCATATCCAAGCACGTATAGGAACATTCTATCGACATCTTTCCCGCTCCCCTCCTTCATTTCGCGTTTTTTTTTTTTTCCCAATATGTTTTGTTTTGTCTGCCATTCGTTCATGCTGCTGTATTCCACAATCCTTCCATTAGTTCTCTGCTGCCCGACCACTTGTTGCTCATATGCTGTCCTCGCGCCAGTTTGTAGCCTGCATCCCGACGATATATGACCGAGTCCAAACGCGAGACCATACCGGACACTACATTCGGCGCCGCAATTCTTTCCGCGGCGGCCACAGGCGGTGAGGATGCACCTGGAGCGCGTGTGCCGCTGCCACGGCATGTCCGGGACCTGCTCCCTCAAGACCTGCTGGCGCAAGCTGCCCACCTTCAGCAAGGTGGGCCTGCGACTGCGGGACCGCTTCCAGGGTGCCATACGCGTCACGGCAGGCAACAGCGGCAAGGGCTTCATCCCAGAATCGCCCCGCGTCCCAGGAAGGGAGGACATTGTGTTTTCCGAGCAGTCGCCCGACTACTGCGACCCGGACCGACGTACGGGGTCCCTGGGCACCCGCGGACGCCAGTGTAAGCTCGGTGCTTCGGGACCCGAAGACTGCAGGACGCTGTGCTGCGGCCGGAAGGTTCGCAGTCGGCAGATGGTGGTGAGCGTGGCGTGCAACTGCACGTTCCAGTACTGCTGCAACGTGACGTGTCAGACATGCTTCGAGACTCTACAGGAGACCACGTGTTTATAGAGTGTGCCGTTCGTTCCGTGGACCCTCCTCTTCGACTAGGTCTGTGATATTGTGCGCGCTCTATGGAAGTAGAGGAATGATGCTGTACACTTGTGCGTGCGTGGATGTGTGTGTGTGTGTGTGTGGTAGGGTGGAATACGTGACACTTTTGCTCGGCTCAACGTCGCTTTTGAACATGTACTAGGAGAAGTCTAATGGAGAGCAGGTCTATTTTCTTCGAAGACACTGCAAAGGACTGTGCGTGGCCATACATAAAAGTCAGCTGATACATAGTTCATTTTCTGAGCGCCCTGGCTACCTTATGAGCGTACGTGACTTGCACACTATATTCCACACTCATTTGGCTGCAAGTATATGTGACCACACTTCGATGCAAAATGTTGACGAGTAACGTCGTTCTTAAATTATTTGCTTGAAAGGATACCCTATTGGCAACAGCTTCAGTAACTGGCGAGGGCATGTTTGCTAGTAACGGGCGAGAAACCATTCATGAAAGGCTCCGTTGAAAGTGCAAAACCTTATTTGCTGTCTGTTGACAATTTCTCAGCCCAAAATGTGTGTTGCTAGTAGTATCTCGAAGGTATATTTTAAAATCGTTTTACATGTAGCTAAAAACGATGCTCCTTCGAGAAAGAGCATTGTAGTAATAGATAATATTTGTCTAGATTACAATAAACATCAACACCTCGTCGGATAAACACTATTTTAGACGTAGGAGTGTAAGCACGTGTTCATACAGTCTACAGTACTCTTTAAACACTTATAAGCAACGTAAAGTTCAATCATGGGTAATTAAGTTGCCAAGGATACTTTTCAATGAATGAACAGTTCGGTTCATTGTGGAGTAGAGCTTTCCGAGCCATTAGTTATGACTCATAACAAACAAACAAAATGTCGATGCTCAGTTTAAGAGTCTTTTGGAAGTCACATGACCAAGCGTCCGAGTGTGCTGCCGCCCTGCTGAACTCTTCTAGCAATCCGCCATTCAATAGACGTGAGACACATATCGCAGTGCTTTATTAGATGAACTATGTTTGTTTGTTGTTTTCTTCCTCTGAACTTTTTGTGTTGCATTCAATGGTGGACAGATTGAATGCTGTTCTTTACAAGAAGACGTTGTGTTACGTTTGTGGTAGGAGTGAAAAAAAACGAGGAAGGACGGTATGTGTCGTGCTTTGCATGTGCGCGTGAGTGTTACGTTCTTTCCAATCTAATGGCATTTAAGTCGTAGTAGTCAGATGTTGGCGTCTGAGACGTAGTTTTTTTGCACAAGAATCCAAAAGTCCGCTTTGCGTTATTGTTTTACTAGGATTAAATAATACTGCTGCAACCGGACTAGAATCCGCTCTATCGCGGCGTTCGGCATTGCGGTGGTAGTTCTCCCACAGTGTTCACTCGTGTATTTTCTGGTTTGTTGTCGTCGCTGCTTAAAGCGCCAAAACAAAAAGGATTGTTATTACCTTTAGCTAGCAATGATGAACTATTTCCAATTTTTATGCAAAATATTTATAAATGTTTCAAACAGTGTCTCGCACCTCTTGAAGTCACGTTAAAAGCAATGATGACCAATTCAAGATAATGCTCAAGCACGTGTGTTTATAGTATAGTTAGTGGCTAATAAGTAAGAGACGCTTATGTCCTGCTGTATAGAGTGTCAGCGATAGGTGAGCCTAGCAATTTTAAAATCCTAATGCGGTTAAACCCTGATTTAGAAAAGTACCATGCAGAAAACACTTAAGCCTTTGCAGTATTCTTTTTCTTCTGTGCGTGTACAATTGGAAACGTTTATTTCGTAAATTACCGGATTTTACGCCATTTGGTAGTTTCCGCGTCAGGTCTCCGAGTAAGCCATTGCTTGGGCACGTATTGGACACGAGGGCTGCGTCAGTGTTCGCGACGACTCGCGTCCAATCAGACGCTTGGTGCCCAATGGATGGATGGATGCATCCTAACGGCTGTACGCGTCATATCGGGCGGTAGCTTGCGCCACCTAGCCCAAGAAATGGCGACCGCCGGTGTTGTTTGATGAAGTTGTGAAGTCAGCTACCGGAATTACTAAAGATGGGAACATGACACAGTATCGTTTTAAGCGAAAGCCCAAGTGCCATCGTATAAGCGAATTTCGCGTTGCATAAGCGTGCTTTTATTTTTATTTTTATTTTTTTTTGTCAGTCGACATGAGCTTTGTGCATACATCACGATAGGGGGGTGGGTGGCGACACCTGTGGTACGAAAGGATAACAAAATAGTGCATTACCGGTAACCAGTTACCTTTATCATATAAAGTAACTTTACTTTTTATCGGTAACGGTAACACGTTCCTTTATTTTGAGAGTAACGAGTAACGTATTTCGTTAGTTGTTTTTTTCAGTAACGCCAACGACACTGCTACGTATCAAACGCGGCAAGCACCGACGGCACATGGGCGACGGTTGTGGGGGTCCGCTGCCGAGCGTGTATCTCCTGCAGAGTACATTCCTCAATGTCGGATTTGTCCTTCTGTGCAAGGACAAGTGCGAAAGACCACCAGCAGGAAGCGGTGACGTCACATGCAAGCCAAATACTGCTCGATTAAAAAAACAAAACAAAGAAGAGTGACTGTGCGGTGTGAAATTGAGACACCAAAGGCACTTTTCTTTTTTGACACCGAAGCATTTTAGCGGCACGAATAATGAACGGCGTCGCCCGAGAGACCATCATTAGCTAGGAATCCGCAAAAGCACCAGCCGAACAGACAGCGACGACGTACAACGACATTAGCCTATGGGCTCACCCCCCCCCCCCCCCCCCCTCAAAAAGCCGTACATTGTGCCTAAACCGAATGAATGGCGCCTAAACAAGGGGTGGCCGCCAAAATCCGTAAATTTACGAACAGAGCTACCTTACCACCCGGTGGTCAGAGGGAGAGGGGGACAGAGGCTGCCGTAGAACGGGCCCCCCCAAAAACAAAATAAAACCTCATCAGTCCTCTTTTATTATTATATCTCTAGCCTCCCTCCAAGCTTTCTTTTTTTCGTTGTTGCTCTTGCCGCCACCCTGTCGATGCAGCACGTGTGTGGTCCGTCTCCCTTCCAGGCAGAAACAAGTTACTGCACGTTCGGGAGAGAGAGAAGAGGGAGAGTGGAGGACGAAGAAGCGATCGCAGGTTGAGAGAGAGAGAGAGCCATTAATTTGCGGAGCGGTCGGCAAGGGCAGGTAGAGGGGGAGGGTGGGGTGCGAACCGATTACAGGGGCGGCTTCCTCCCAAAAGTGGTGACCCCACCCCGCAAGAGGGGGGGCAAGGGATCCATCGGTTATGCACCTCTGGCAGGGGAACGTGTGCTGGGCCCGCCGGGAACGCCCCCCTCGGCGTGAGAGGACACGTATGAAGCTGTTACCCGCCACCTCTCTCTCTCCCCCTTGCTCACTTTGAGTAGGGCGAGGGTGGTAGTATAGCACGGCGCAGCCCGGGGAGAAACAAGAAAATGGTTCGTGTTGTGTGCGTCGTATGTGCAAAGTTCAAATACGCGCTATTTTATTTTTTTGGACGACGAGTGGTGTTGGCACACGGCGGGTCGGTTTGTTCGGGAACAAGCGCGAGCGCCCTCGGCCGTACAAAAGAGGCGACAATCATTGGCTACGTGTACGCGAAGCCGACACTGGTCTCACAACGAGAGCGCAAGTAGCGTGCGTTTGCCGCTTGGCGGCGTCTCCTGTCTAGTTTCAGCGTGTTGGCCGCTTGGGGCGAGTCGGGCGTCCTCAGACCATGGCGCATGGCTTCGTCTTCTGGGCGGTATTGCTCCGACAGACGGCGCTATTCTCCATATCATCCTAAGTCGGAGCCGCAAGCTCAGTTTCACAGCTTCGCCTGCGACGTGGGCTCAGTGGCGGTCACGAAAACTAGCAGCGCTGCAGTCGAGTCTTACTTCCGGATTGCCTAGCCCGCCCGCCAGGTTTCAATAGCATTGCTTGAGCTTGGGCGAGTTCGTGATTCATACTAACACTTCACAGCTCAAGGAAACCGACACACAAAATAAATTTCAAACACTCAAAGAAAGAACACTCACACAGCGCTGACTCCCCTCTGAGGTGTAATACACTTCATCTTCGTCATCTTTTTTTTTTTTTTTTCTATAATACACATGGAAATAAAAAAAGAAGAAAAGGAAACTGATAAAGAAAATGAAAAGGTACAAGAAAAGAAAGGTAAAGGAGACTGAAAAAGAAAAAGGAAGAAAAGAAAAAGATGGGAAAAATTCCGGCTACAGCAGATCCGACTAAGAAGCTTTTACTAGGTAATAGTAACCAGTACCCCGCCGATATCCTTATCCCAAAAAAGAGTTAGATTACCCGAGGTAGAGTGTACTAGAAAGTACGAGTGGGACGAGCTATTGCCTCCGCTCATGCTTTCAGTTGTACCTCAAAATGTGGAAAGCGACCGGGTGGACCCAAGTCACTTTGATCTCAGCGCCACCTTCGCTGCAATCAAGCAACGACACAGGTCAAAAACATAATGTATTTTTTTATGATTTTGACATCAGAGGTAACGTCTAAGTACCACAATACGACGACGCCACGACGTCATCGTTGACGACGTTACGCGACGCCAAGATGCTGTCATAAGGCCGTCATGACATCGCGTCGCGTCGAGGACAACGTCGTTTGGCGACATCAAGTCGCCGTTGTAACGCGGTCGTGACGTCGCGTTGAGGATAACGCCGTTATGCGACATCAAGTCGCCGTTGTAACGCGGTCGTGACGTCGCGTTGAGGATAACGCCGTTATGCGACATCAAGTCGCCGTTGTAACGCGGTCGTGACGTCGCGTTGAGGATAACGCCGTTATGCGACATCAAGTCGCCGTTGTAACGCGGTTGTGACGTCGCGTTGAGGATAACGCCGTTATGCGACATCAAGTCGCCGTTGTAACGCGGTCGTGACGTCGCGTTGAGGATAACGCCGTTATGCGACATCAAGTCGCCGTTGTAACGCGGTCGTGACGTCGCGTTGAGGATAACGCCGTTATGCGACATCAAGTCGCCGTTGTAACGCGGTCGTGACGTCGCGTTGAGGATAACGCCGTTATGCGACATCAAGTCGCCGTTGTAACGCGGTTGTGACGTCGCGTTGAGGATAACGCCGTTATGCGACATCAAGTCGCCGTTGTAACGCGGTCGTGACGTCGCGTTGAGGATAACGCCGTTATGCGACATCAAGTCGCCGTTGTAACGCGGTTGTGACGTCGCGTTGAGGATAACGCCGTTATGCGACATCAAGTCGCCGTTGTAACGCGGTCGTGACGTCGCGTTGAGGATAACGCCGTTATGCGACATCAAGTCGCCGTTGTAACGCGGTTGTGACGTCGCGTTGAGGATAACGCCGTTATGCGACATCAAGTCGCCGTTGTAACGCGGTCGTGACGTCGCGTTGAGGATAACGCCGTTATGCGACATCAAGTCGCCGTTGTAACGCGGTTGTGACGTCGCGTTGAGGATAACGCCGTTATGCGACATCAAGTCGCCGTTGTAACGCGGTCGTGACGTCGCGTTGAGGATAACGCCGTTATGCGACATCAAGTCGCCGTTGTAACGCGGTTGTGACGTCGCGTTGAGGATAACGCCGTTATGCGACATCAAGTCGCCGTTGTAACGCGGTCGTGACGTCGCGTTGAGGATAACGCCGTTATGCGACATCAAGTCGCCGTTGTAACGCGGTTGTGACGTCGCGTTGAGGATAACGCCGTTATGCGACATCAAGTCGCCGTTGTAACGCGGTCGTGACGTCGCGTTGAGGATAACGCCGTTATGCGACATCAAGTCGCCGTTGTAACGCGGTTGTGACGTCGCGTTGAGGATAACGCCGTTATGCGACATCAAGTCGCCGTTGTAACGCGGTCGTGACGTCGCGTTGAGGATAACGCCGTTATGCGACATCAAGTCGCCGTTGTAACGCGGTCGTGACGTCGCGTTGAGGATAACGCCGTTATGCGACATCAAGTCGCCGTTGTAACGCGGTCGTGACGTCGCGTTGAGGATAACGCCGTTATGCGACATCAAGTCGCCGTTGTAACGCGGTTGTGACGTCGCGTTGAGGATAACGCCGTTATGCGACATCAAGTCGCCGTTGTAACGCGGTTGTGACGTCGCGTTGAGGATAACGCCGTTATGCGACATCAAGTCGCCGTTGTAACGCGGTCGTGACGTCGCGTTGAGGATAACGCCGTTATGCGACATCAAGTCGCCGTTGTAACGCGGTTGTGACGTCGCGTTGAGGATAACGCCGTTATGCGACATCAAGTCGCCGTTGTAACGCGGTCGTGACGTCGCGTTGAGGATAACGCCGTTATGCGACATCAAGTCGCCGTTGTAACGCGGTTGTGACGTCGCGTTGAGGATAACGCCGTTATGCGACATCAAGTCGCCGTTGTAACGCGGTCGTGACGTCGCGTTGAGGATAACGCCGTTATGCGACATCAAGTCGCCGTTGTAACGCGGTTGTGACGTCGCGTTGAGGATAACGCCGTTATGCGACATCAAGTCGCCGTTGTAACGCGGTCGTGACGTCGCGTTGAGGATAACGCCGTTATGCGACATCAA